GAGGAACGGACAGGAGAGTGGGGCAGAGGTCGCGACTCGGGGAGGGGGGGTGGGGGGGCGGGGGGGGGGGGGGGGGGTGCGCTGGGTCTGCTCCTCCTTCCCCTCAAGGGCAAGGGGGGGGGGGGTGTTTCATTGGCGTTTTAACCCTCTCCTCTCCGCCTGGCACCCCCCTCCCTCTCCAGGGGCAGACCGCTTCATGGATGATATCGCTTGCATGGTACAGTATCATCCTTGGCCCTGGATGAAATGGTGCTGGAGTTTCATCACGCCACTGCTGTGCCTGGTAAGAGTCAAGTCCTCCCGCACAGAAAGATCCCACGATGAAAGTTTGCTGGGGTTGGGGGGCAGCCGGGAGTAGGGGGTGAGGGTCAAGTCTGTGAGTTTCCACTCATCCTGTAAAAGATGCTGAGGGTGGGTAGTAGAGACATTTGCAGTGGGTTGGGGTGGGGGGGAGTGTGGGGGGAGGTCCCGGCCTGGCGCACAGCAAGATCCCAGGCCGGCCACCATCTCCCAGAGCACGTGGAAGTCGCGGAAAAGTTTACCGACCGACTCAGTCTCGCGGCTCCCGATTCCCGACCGAGATAGCCCGGCTCCCGGAATTCCGAAGGCCACATCGTGGTGAGACGCCCCCACACCCCACCCCGCGCCTGGAGTACAGGGCGCAGCTTCGGGTTTCAGGCCCAAGCTTCGGACGAGGCGGCTGGTGGGATCAGACCCTTCAGTTTTGCCTGTCGGGTCTGTCCCGAGATTGGGCCAAAGTTGATCGGAGAGTGGGAGGTGAACTGGAGCCAGGCGTGTTTCTGAAGGGGATTTTCCGGATGAGGGAAGACGCTTGCGTTCCGATTGCTTTAAGAGCTGTGTTCGTTTAAGAAACGCTACACAGGATATTGTCGCAGAGTCATAGGACACGGAAAAGCAGACCCTTCGGCCCAACCGGTCCGTGCTGACCCTAATCCCAAACTGAACTAGTCCCCCACCTGCCTGCCCCTGGCCCATATCCCTCCCAAACCTTTCCCCCTCCACGTACTTATCCAAACGTCTTTTGAACGTTGTAACTGTACCCACGTCCACCGCTTCCTCTGGAAGTTCATTCCACACACGAACCAACCCCTGTGTAAA